CTATGAGCTCTAATCAATTCGAACTATAACTATGAGCTATAATCAATTCGAACGATGAGCTATAATTTTTTTGATGTTTTAAAAAAAACGTTCTAAATTTATTTGATAACCTACCTAAAACCCTAAACCTAGATTATTAGCCAAGTTAACCACTCCAATATAACATATATCAACGAGCAAAGAGATGGGATACGATCCAAAAATAAGAAGATTCAGGAGCCATATTGAAACCAAAACAAGCAAAACAGGAAAAATCAAAAAAAAAACAAAAATTGAGAGATGGAATTACCATTTGCACGTACGGATTGTCACCGAGGCAAGATTCACAAGTGATTGGGAAATCGGCTTCATGATCTCTCACTATTCTCTGAGCCATTCTCTTCTCCTCTTAGTTCGATATTAATCTTCTCGAACACGAATGCCCTAGAAATATATATAGTAGAGCAAATTCGGGCTTGGAATTGTGTCTCTTTGAAATATTACAAATTAAACCCGAAACTTTCAACAAATATGTGAAATTAACTTTTTTTGCTTTTAAAGATACAAAGCAGACCTCTAACCATTGCGATAACCATTGCGATAACCAAAAAACATTGATTTTTCCAAAAAAAATCCATCCAATTATAGGGTACGGGCCTTTAATGGTATGCTAATCCCTTAACACTATTATCCAAAATATAGAGTATATACGAACAAAAAATTAGATGACTAATCGATTATAAATTGTTTAAAGACCATTAGTTTCTCTTTGTATCACATTTGTTGAACTTCTTCTTTGATGTAATCTGTTTTAAATAAACTTCAATATAAAAAAACGATTATAAATTGTTTAGATATCTAAAACTGGTTGTGGAAACTAATGCACTACAGCACTAGTTAAGTAAAGCAAAACTAATAAACCAACTTTGTACAACCACAATCAGAGATCACATGTAGAGATAAAATTTCTTTTTAATATTGAACAAGAAACCTGAAGTCCAATAATTAATTATTCTAATAACCAAGATCTCAAACATTACTTTAGCAATGTTAGATTCCACACGAATCTCCTCCAGGTCCACCAAATTTGAATAAAATTGATTTTTTTCCATCTTTTAAGCCATAACATTTATTGTTATCTAAAAGTTTCTCTAACTTATATTTGTTACTTTTTTTAAAATTGAAATTAGAGTCCATAATCTCAACATTTTCAACATGTGCCGATCCCATGTCATCTTCAGTTGGTAGATGACCATTACCCATTGGCGGACTTATACCAGAAGGAGAAGTTTGGACTGCTCCTGTAACTCCGACCATGTCTGCACCATTGTCCATAAGATCAAACAGTTCTTTTGGCCAATAACCTATATATACATCTGGTTTGCCATTTATTATATCTGTTGTCCACCAGTTTCCTGATTTTTTATTCTTCAATTTAGAATAAAAATACATACTATGTAAGTTATATGTACTACAAACAAAAATTGTTTTAGGAAAACGTGTATATATGCATTACCTGTTGAATAGAAACAGAAATAACTCTTCCTCCTTCGGGTAGTTGAGGTAAAGGTCCACTTAGATGATCAGTTTTTGACACTTGAACAAAACCAGGACATATTGTATTATAACAACCTCCGTTGGCACCCTATCATTATTTAGTCATAATATTTATAATTCATAGGATAATTTTTTTTAAAAAAGAATAAAATTAATTTACATTAGAGACACATACTGGAAAATAACTAATTTAATTATTAACATATTCCTCTATAAATTTGGTTTATAACTACTTATATATTTAGACATGGTATAAGATACTAATTAGTCTCCATGTTTCAAAATATATGTCGTTTTTTTATTTGATCGAAAAGAATAAATGTCGTTTTAAAAAAAAATTGTCATTTTACATTTTCAAAAGCAAAAATTAAAAGAATAATTTCGAATTGTAAATTTTCAAATGAAGATCATTTAGAAGGAAAAAAAAAA